TCAACACTAAGAAATTTGAATTCCTGAAAATATGGAGTAGCCTTCTCTGTCCATGCTTTTCTTTGTAGCTGATGGGTATCAACTCTAGCAGAGCTCTCTACTTCTTTTTATTTTTAGTAGAATATTGGGAAGTATATGTAAGGGCCTTGCTGCACTCTAAGGAGGATTCCTAATAGGCATTGGAGCCTCCAAGCCTAGTACTTTTGCCCTAACTTTATTCCAGTTTGACCACAGCCCTTGAAGGAGATGAAAAATGCCAGGAGCCACATGAAGACACTTTTCACTTGAATCTACAACTGAGGGCAAACATCCTTTCTTCCCCACAGCAAAACTTGGGAGAAAGTTCTTTTTGGAAGATTTATCTGGCACAGTAGTCAGTCCAAAAACTGAGCTCCTATGCCAAATTCCTTCATTTGATAAAGATTAGATTGTTGAGTAGCAAGCAATGATGCATTTTCATAATTCTTATCTGTATCAGTAAAGCCGGTAGGGTGAAGGATGGCTTTTCTTATCACCCAGAGAATAAACCAACATGTGATTTTCTGCTTCTCACATCACACTGTTAAAAAAGAAACAAGGGTGCATGCATATCAGGCTCACATAGGGAGAGTCACTGAAAGCAGGGTTGCCAAATCTTTTTGGAGAACATTCTTGTTCTCCTTACTACCCTGGCATCCTTCGTAGTGAGTAGCTTCCTGTACAAAGGAAGAAAAGTGAGCCTGACAGAATTTAGATTCTATATGAGGTCCTGTACTTTGTTAGTTCCTGTCAGGATTGCCTTTAACAAGCTTTATGGGTTCAATTAGTTTTCATTTCAGCAAGTATTTTATACTTTGCAGTCCAGTGATTAACCTATCGATTGTCTTTTTGCCTTTTCAAACGCAGCAGCTTAGACATTTTTATTATTACCCTGTAAATTCTTCAGACTTGCATTCTGTGGCATTGGCTATGTAGTCTACATTTTGTAAGCTCTTTTAATTGCTTCTCTGAAGTGTGGACTTATTTTGAGAGAAGGTCACAGTAGTTTTCATTAATCCAATGTTACTTTCATAATCTTATGACTTTGATTTAAAAACAAAATTCCATTAGGTTTGCCTATTTCATCAAATGAATGTTTTCCATTTTGTAAAGAGTCTTTCCGTCATAAAAGATCAGCCCAATTGATGTATTTTTGGTTACATTGCTATTTTTGTGGGCCATGAGTAGACAATTTCATAGCCAGGTAAGGATGGGTAGGGGTAGGAGGGGCGATGACTATGCAGTCTGTAAAACAAACAGTCCACGGACTTCTTGTATTTCTTGTTCCTTAATTATTGGACTTTTAATTCATCTCCCGATTTTTTTTTTTTTTGGAAAAGGAAGAGGTCTTAGGGATCAAGTAGAATTTTAAATAGTTAACTTTGCTATAATTGACATTTTAGGTTAAAATGAAACTTTCAGATAAGCATAGAACAAGCTGTGCTTATTTTGAAATAATATAATTCAACTTTAACTTGATAAAAATGTATTGAGACTAAACTATGAACTGGAGGTTAAAAATATACATGGCTTCTTTTATTCAGGAGTTTACAATATAGCGGGGAGATAACTTCTAACAGAGAAGATCTGTTTGTGTTTTGAATATTTTAGAATAACAGAATGTGAGTACTTACTACCGTGGTAGTAAACAATCTTAATTATTTATTTAGGCCCCTGTCTTCGTATCCTTTCTAAAATTCTTTGAACGTTATTCTAGCTTAAATAAAAACTGGAACTATGTGCATTTGGAAGGTATTGTGTAGGGTAGCTGCCTCTTTAAAAAGACATACTAGTACAAGAAATGCTCAGAGAAGAACCAAATCAATCAAGGTTAGAGTGATTTCCACAAGTGGACTGATAAAATAGTGATGACTTGGAGGAAATATGATTGCAGTCTATATACTTGCTGAATACACTCCAAATTGGATACAAACTGGCACACCAAATACATGTAATTTGCATACAAATGAGCACACCAAATTTTAGAATACTGATGTTTGCAAATCTTAAAGCTCGAAAGAGGTCACTTTAGGACAAATAAGAGCAAGTGCTACTTTTCACAATGGATAGTTATAGGAATCATTCAGGCTGAGACATAAGTGAGCCTCTTGAGGCTGATATGTAGGGCAACTTACCATGCTCACCCATAAAATATCTCTTGCTCGTATTGCTAGTGCCAGGGTATGGTACTAAGTGAATATTTTTAGTTGGGTCTCATATAATATCATTAATTCTTAGAGTTCCTATCTTTAAACGAGTTAAAAGACACCTTTGAAAAAATGTTTCTAAATGTCTCAGTGTGTATCACACATGTTTAGGTACAAAGTGGGAAAGACTCACATTAATTTTTCCTTTGTATATTTTACACTCAGAGCTGGCCAAGGAAAATGCTATTTTTGCCAAACACAAACTAACCAACAACTGTTATATTTTGCAATGTATGATACTGCCTGATTGTCTAATAGAGGAATTACTTTTCCCTCAAGCACTTTCAAAGTAATTCAAAGTGTTATGTTTCATCAGTGGGTAATTATGTTTCTCCACTAAGCTTATAATAACAGTAAAGTCAGATATGTTCCTCTTGCTTTTTAGTAGTACAGTTCTAATAATATTTGCTGAAAGAATGAATAAATTCAGCAAATCTAGCAAGACTTACTGAATCAATGAGTGAATGAATGAACAAACAAACATGATTTGAGTCAGTCTTTTTGTCCTTTTCTGCTCTGAGCAATGGGCTAATCACCATGTGTGTAAGTACATACTGGACCATACATGAAGTTGTTATTCCTAATGATATAAATGTGATTTTTAAAAAAACTAAATTCCAACTTGAGATGAGTAAATAATAAATATATAACAACTATATATCTGATAGATGGTATTAAGTCAGCATTATATTTAATTCCAAGGAGTGTTGAGATGTTTGCTAATAGTTTTTGGGGTTTTCCTAGGAGTTATATACAATGGTTGAAGCATTTTCAGTAATATACGTTCACCCCACCATGTACTTTTGTGCAATGATATACCAGTAACACATTTTGGTAATTAAATGTGATAGTACATGTGAAGGCTACAGTGCATGAGACAAATTGATTGTTCAATAAACATTAGCCATTATTATGTTCTTATCATTGCATAACCAGAAGCTTTACACTTACTATTGTGAAAAGGTAAAATTACAACAAATTTAGTGTAAAGATCTTATTGGGTTTTATTTGTAATTCTAAAATCAGGCACACCTCATTCTATAAAGTAGAATGAGTATTTTGATGGGCTGGGCAGAGGAGCTTGGCTTTACAGGAAGAAAAGGACTGAGGAAAGCAGAAACAGAGAAGAAAAAGAGGATTGGTCATTTCAAAGTTACTTTCTTTGTAAAGTTTAAAGCAGAGGGGACTTCCTTACCATGCTGGCTAAAACCTACCTGTTCTTAGGGTTTTGGATTCTCTCTCCCAGCTTCTTGGAAGGTCAGATAAACAACTTTTTTTTTGCTGTGGTGGTGTGGAACTTCAGGACAAGTAACTAGATTTGGTTTGGTCTGTTTGGTCTAGTGCAGGAGCTCAGTCCAAACCAATGTCCTCTTATAAATTTTATTTAACACTACATAAAACCATGGGGATAGTTAATCTCCCTATAAACCTTAGAATGCTACACCAGATCTTTAGTTTCTCATCTGAAAGGGTCTTCATCCTTAATTTTCCAAGATGATTGAAATACAGTTATTTGCAGTCTTCCATCAGCTTTCAAGAATACAGTTTCTCAAAAGTACTACAGTTAGATACATTCTAGGACTAGTTAAATTAATTTAGAACCTGTTTTGTAGTTTGGAGAGTGGGTTCATATAAAGCCATAAATATATTACCCAGATCCACATGGGCAAGAGTACTCCACTATGGTCTGTATGTAATGTAGTTTACATTTTCCCAATGAAGTGCTAATTACACTCATAATGGCTTTATGGTTCCCCCCCCACCCATAGAATCTCTCTCTGTCACCCAGGCTGGAGTGCAGTGGTGTGATTTCGGCTCACTGTACCCTCCGCCTCCCTGGCTCAAGCGATTCTCCTGCCTCAGCCTCCCGAGTAGCTGGGATTACAGGCACTCACCACCACACCTGGCTAATTTTTGTATTTATAGTAGAGATGGGAGTTCACCATGTTGACCAGGCTGGTCTCGAACTCCTGACCTCAGGTGATCTGCCCACCTTGGCCTCCAACAGTGTTGTGATTACAGGCGTGAGCCACCACGCCCAGCCAGCTTTATGTTTAAAAAAGGAGTTATTGTGTTTTATAAACATGAGCAAGATAACAGATAGAATGGTACATTTCAGATTTTCTTTAAAATGCTACAGTTGGGGAGAGGGTAACAGATAAAACAGGATTGATCATGAATTGGGAGTTCAGGATACTATTATATTTTCATGTATGATTTGCAGGCTTCCATAATAAAAAGTTTAAAACAAACCAAATATAATGAAAACCCTCCCAATAGGTCAGGAAGTAATTAGAAATTATTTAATCAATGGTGCATATTTTGTGATATGCACCATTCTAGACACTAGGAATTAAATGTGAGCACTAGGAATTAAATGTGTCCTCTTGGACAAAACGTCCCCAGCTGCTTTCTTTCTCAAGACTGTGATCCATGTTCGGCAAAGTGCGTGTTCCAGTTGTGATCACAGTACTGTCATTTTCCTCTGGGCCTGTGATTCTCAATCCTGGCTACAAAGTGGCTCCGTCCAAGAGTCCTAGGAACTTAACTCTGCTTGTGGGTGTGTAGCCACAGAGCTAGCCCTATCAGATTCTTAGCCTTTATCCCCCTTGACTGTATTCCATTTTCTGTAGAGGTCGTTGCCTTCCAACAGGAGTGGTCATTTCCAATCAGACACCTAAGAACTACTAATGAGCAATGATGGAGGCACATTCTAGATGGAGGCCCATTCTAGAAACCGTTGAAACCGAGTGTTGCTTTGGACAGCTGTTTCATGTACATTTTGGAGTGGGAATGGGATCAACCTCTCAACATTTTTCTTGTATGGTGATGTGTTGTTAATGTAATGGCTTTGATTTTAAAACTACCCTTATTTCCATACTTTCAAATACAACAAATTAGGTAATTTGCAGTTGGTTTCCTATTCATTGATGCCTGTTATTAAGGCCTATGGTTTTCTTTCTTTAGTTAAATAAAGTGTATCAAGATTATAAATTTATTCTGAACATTTGAGAATTCAAAATCATGCAGCATGACAAACTTCTTTCATTTTGCTTCTCCTCAGGTAGTAAAGATATATTTTTGAAGTGACAAACACACATAAAAAGAACTTGAAGGCATCTATTGTACATGTGTTTGTTAGCATTGTTACAGATTTCATTAGAATTCTTTCACATCAGTCATTTAATGGAGTCTCAGCGTGTAGGAAGAGTGGATGAAAGACCGTGATTACTTATTTACATTTTCAAAAATTTGTTTTCTTTAGGTGTTTTTTCCTGTTTCCACTTTATGTTGAATATTATTTACATACAGTATACACAGCATCATAAGTTTATGAATGCCAGGTTTAATGAATCACCTAGCACAGACTGTATATTTAAGTAGAACACACTTACGAATGACTGATCTAATGAACAATGATGCTAATAAATGGTTGCCACTTCCAAACTGTGGGTACCCTGCCCAGATTTCAGAAACATGCACAGGATAGTTAGGGTTAATGGTTGATAAAACTGTAATTCAGGGAATGTTGCTACCCACACAACCTCACACCTCTGCTTACAGCATGTAATGGTCTTCACATCATTCCTAGACTATCATCCAAACTCCTTAGGATGGACCTTCATAACCTGTCCAGAACCTACCTCAGCAGTCCTATTGCCTTTTGATCTCTCCTTGCTCACTGTGCTGTCTTTACATTCTTTCCAAATTCATTCCAGGGACTCAGAGGGTTTAAAGTCTAGATTCATATAACTTGTAAATGGTAGAACTGGGATTCAAGACTAGGTTTGTTTGATATCTTTCAATTTGTCTAATTTAAAATAAAATATATTATTTCTCTTCAGGAAAATGTAGGAAGGAGGGCTTTACTTTCTGTAGAACATTTGTGTAGGGGAAGAATAATAATTTTTTTCTCCAACATTTTTAGACTTAGTTGAAATGAGTCCCTATAATGAAAGACTGATTAAAAAAATAAAAACAAACAGAAGTTCATTAACATGTATATTTCTCATATACATGGGAGACACCCAGGGAGTGAGTAATTCTTAACAAGATAGCTTGTTCTGAAAATATTCCAAGGCTGATGTTTCCTTTAAATCAGTCTAGAGATTGAAATGTTAAGCACATCATCTCTGGATTGAATGTAGTCATTAGATGTGTTTAGTGTGATTGCTAGTGTAAAAAATGTTGAATTTGAATGTCTTTAGAGAAGACTCATACTCTAGTTCTGCCACAAACCCTACCATTTTCTATTCTTTTAACAGCAGACATTCATTTATATATTTGAGTGACCCCTGAGGGCCTTTCAGATTTGATCTTTGCTTGAGTATTGAGGATGAACTGGCTGTCTAAATGACCAAAATGATACTCATGTTTTGACTAGTAGTTGTATCTTAACTTTAAAAACTGAAATTCAATTGGATTTCACCACTTGCTGTGAAGATGAGCTGCGTACCTTTTGTAAGTCTCAGTTTCCTTATGTGTAAAATGGAAAAAAAAAATACAAATCTCTAACACTGTGGGGTTGTTGTAAGGATTACATTAGAAGATATCCGGTATATAATATTACATGTTCAATAATTGAAGGTATTATTGTTGTCTTCTATAGCCTTACCAAGTAAGCTTTCAAATACCCATGGTTGACATAAATACTAATAGAAGTAACCTCATAAAAATAAACATTTATAGTGTAATGTCTATGCTTGTTATAGTTATTAACCTCAACAAGTAAAGATGGCAATATATTTTAGATTACTTCCATTTTGAAAAACCTACTTTCTAAGAAGTTTCTGGGAATGATTTCTCAGCAAGAAATATGGTGCATGGTTTTTGGCCATAACTCCTTTTCTGAGGGTGTTATCTGTCATTGGTAAGAAGTGCTTAGGACCCAGACACATGGGATTCCCTTAAGCATTTGAAAGGAATAAAGGAACGTAATTTTTTGGCAGCTGAAGAGTGAAAACAGTTACCATATCGTTATTACATGGTATGGTTGATGTATGTTTTGGCCCAAATTTCTGTGGAAACATGACTTACCAAATGACTTTACCACTGTGCCCTTTTGTGTAGCACAGATGGGGATGCAAATAGCAGTATGAGAGAGCGAGTTACCGTCGTGCATCTACCTTTAGTGACCATGGAACATCACATAAACAAACACGTAGGCAGCAAACAATCTACTTTTTAAATAAAACATCTTTGCCTTTAAAAAAAATAAATAACCTTTTGTTGTTCGTAGATTTTAGTTACATTTAATAATAATATAAACACAGAAAACCTAGGAGACCAATGAATTTTACAAGCACAACTATCATCTTTGGGGCAATGGTTTGTAATATAATACATTCTTCCCATTAAATTGCCCTGCATATGCCAACAATCTTGCCAAATATATTTATCTGGGTACACAATAGCAGCATATTTGGCATATGGACAATAGAAACTTTCGAATCCTACATTCTTGCAGGAAAGAAGGTGGAAAGCTAGTAAGGTATAAAATAAAATGTATTTTGTAATGAGAAAACTTAGCTTTGGGGGCATAGTTCCAATATGTACTATCTGAATCTTCATTTAACTGCTCTCCTTATAGATACAGCTGCAGTGTCCCCATTTTTCAGATGTAGAAACTGGCAATCAGGAAGGTTAAGTAAATTTGCCAAGGTCATTCATCTAATTAGGGCCTGAGTCAGGATTTTGAACCCTTGCTTGACCGACCTGGGCTCGATACCTCATGATCTACCTCCTCATAAAGAAATGCTGTCTAATTATGAGTCATTATTCACAGGGACTAGAGAACAGGTGTTCACCCCAGTCCTTGGGACCAGAAAGGAGAGATATGGAGAATAAAACTCAAGAAAAGACAGAAAACTTGCCCCAGGACTGCCTCTGAGAACAAATTAGAAGACAGGAGCCTAAGGCTGAGTCAGAGGAGTAGCTGCCAGTAATTAATCAGTTTGACAACTGGCTGCTGGCACAAAAGAAGACCAGCTGAATTGGGAGGGCAGAAAATAGGGGAACCTACAATGCCAGTGTAGATTTGGCCAAAGCAGGAAGAAATTTGGAAAAGGAAGAGAAGGCAGAGGCAGCATGAAAGAGGCTACAAGATTCTGATTCCTGTTACTTTTTACATGTCCTTGGGAACTTCCTGCTGGGAGGACAATGAGCTGCCCAGGGGGGCTGGACCTTTTGCATTACAGGCATGTGGGATGGCAGGGGATCCCCACCAGGAATAATTTAACAGGGATTTGGGAGGAGGAAAGGAGGAAAGAAGAACCACACCGAACAGAGCAGAGAAAAGCCACCAAAAAGTGAGCTGGATTCTCATTTTTATATGCAGAATGGTACAACTTAATTCCTCACTCTGTATGGATATTGCCAGGGAGTGATGGAGGGAATGCCCAATGAGATAGGTCACCTGTTTCAATCTTGCTAGAAACTCATCTTTGATTGGGGAAAAAAAACTCTTCTGTGAATGTGACATTCCTGGGTTTTTAACAGCAGATGTAGGGGGTGTAGGTTAGGGCAGCAGATAGAAAGGCCACTGGGGGATCACAGACAGGTCTGGCCACACCTTGCCTCACTCTTTTTTCACCCTCAGTCTATACCCTTGAATGACCTTTTCAATATATGTGTAGGGAAGAAACAAATTTTGCAGTTGCAGTATCCTGAAAATGTCATAACAATATGAAAAATGGTAATTTCCCATAGGAAATTAGGTTTTATGGGCTTGAAGCTTGCATACACTTTTGTATTCTTCCTTTTTTTTTTAAAGTGACATTTTCTCATCTTTGTACTTGTTAGCATTATGGAACCAGCCATTGGTGTGAAACAGAGCTGTCAAACAAAATACAGAATTCTATAAGACTCAGAAAATTGGAACTCTTAGTCACTACACAGGGCCCAATTTCAGGTGCATTACATGCTCTGTCATATCGAGTAAGACTGCTTCAAGCTCTGTCACTATTACAGCTGCACATCCCACATATCATTCAGTTACTACAATATTTTCACTTTTTTTTTTTTAACTACTTTATCCAATGGCAGTGGTGCTGAACACTGATGAGAATGACAGAGCTCTGCAATGCCAAAAGCATTCAGGGAATTTAATCTCAATTCTAAATGCATAAGCTCGACTTCTGCACAGACACTTAGAATATTAAAGGGCTGGAGGAAATGGTTTTGACAGATTTTAATCATACAATAGCTAGGTACAAAGAAACTTAGATATAGATAGGAGAATTATTTTTAAAAGCTTCATGCAAAGATGTGAAAGCAGGAAGTGAATTTAAGGGTCTTTCTTTTAACAACTTCCAGCTTTTCAGTACCAATTGAACACAAGAGTATACTGCCATTTACTTTGGGAAATGAACTAATCTGAAAATCTGATGTTGCTTTTGTTTCTAATTATTGAATAAAATGCATTTACTAAGAACCACTAGGCACCAAAAACTTAAATCTTAAAATTCCATGGTATCTGTGCTCTCACAATGTAGAGGTAATGTTCTAGAATATCTATGTGATATGGTTTGGATCTGTGTCCCCACCCAAATCACATGTTGGATTGTAATCGCTAATGTTGAAGGTGGGACCTGGTGCAAGGTGACTGGGTCATGAGGGCAGATTTCTCATGAATGGTTTAGTACCATCCGCTTAATACTGTCCTCAAGATAGTGAGTTCTCTTGAGATTTGGTTGTTTAAAAGTGTGTGGCACCTGCCCCCCACTCCCCATTCTTGCCCCTGCTTTCACCACGCAATGTACCTGCTCCCCCTTTGC